AAAGTAGCCCCTAAATACAGACTACTGGCTTTCCAGGTAGTGTCTTAAGCCCTATTGTGGTCAGTTGTTGGGGGGAGTGGGTTCCACTCAGAGACTTCGTGGCGTAACGTGGTTGGCCAGATGGTTGCGCTAAGGTCCCGCGTCTCTGTACCAGGACCCCAAGCCCTAAACCCTGAACCCTAAGCCCTAAACCCTAGACGGAATCGAGACGGTTCGCCAATTTCAGCTGCTTCCATCCTACGAAGCCTCAGCCCGCATGACCCCATGAGCCCCGAGCCCCAAACCCCAAACCACCCAACCCCCACAACATAAATCCCAAATCCGAAGCCCTTGATAGCTGCCTGATTAGGTCTACTGCGAAACGAGGCACCTCGAACCGGGGCCTAAACTGGGGTCTAGGGCTTTTGGGAGAGAACGGCCCAACGAGCCCAAAGCTTCTCAATGCAGCAGACATCTCAACACCCCGAAACCCCAAACCCGAAGCCCGAAAGCTCAAAGAAAAAGCTCACGCTTCCGAGCTGAGGTGTTGCAGGTGTATGGCTGGGTGGGGGTTGTTGTGATCTACGGGTGCTGGTTTCCTACGCTCCCAAACCCTACACCCTCAACTTCCCTAAAGCCTAGACCCCCAAACTTTCAGTGTTGCCTACAAACAGTAGCTCACCTTCAAGGCCAAGCCTTCCACCTGGAAGCCTGAAGATCCCCAGCATCCCAGAGCTTCAGCCCCAGGAAGAGGAACACCCACACCCGAAAGCCCAAACATCGAACCGTTGTGGTACCTTCAGAGGAACCCTTCGTAGATCCCCTTACTCAAAGGATCCCTGAATTGAGGGATCCCTTCTAAATGATCCTTTAAAGAACTTAAAGGAGCCTTTGAAGGAGCCCTTCGAAGATCCCCTAAAGGATCCCTTAAAAGAGCGCTTAGAGGATCCCTTTTTGAAGGATCCCCTACAAAGGAGCCCTAAAGCAACCTTTCGAGGATCCCTTATAAAGGAGCCCTTATGAAGGATCCTCTATGAAGGATCCTCTATGAAGGATCCCTTATAAAGGATCCCTTATAAAGGATCCCTTTTTTAGGGATCCCCCATAAAGGAGCCCTTATAAAGGAGCCCTTATAAAGGAGGCCCTTTTTGAAGGATCCCCTTTTTGAAGGATCCCCTTTGAAGGATCCCCCCGGGGGTTCGGAGCCGAAGTCAAGCCGACCGAGGCCTGCACGGCTTGCACGGACACCTTCGATGCCAGCGGCTGCCTCAGATCACCTCATCCCGCGTGAGGCTTCCTTTCAAAGGATCTCTAGGGGTTCCTTTTAAAAGATCTATAGGGGTTCCTTTTAAAAGATCCATAGGGGTTCCTTTTTTCAAGATCTATAAGGGTTCCTTTTAAAGATTTATAGGGGTTCCTTTCAAAGATCTATAAGGGTTCCTTTCAAAGATCGATAAGGGTTCCTTTTCAGGGATCTCGGAGGGTTCCTTGAAGGGACCTATAAGGGTTCCTTTAAGGCTTCCTTTACTGCTTTGGGGCTTAGGGTTTTCGGGTTCAGGGCATCGAAAGGGGTTCATGACGGGCTGCTAAAGGTTCCAGAAAGAGATTGCTAGTAAGGGGTTCTAGAGGAATTACTACTAGAGACTGTACTACTAAGGGTTACCCAGAGAGCCCAATACCCCTTAAAATAAGGAATATACCTTAAATTATAGGGGTCGTAATATTATGATTTAAGGATATTTAAGGTATATTCCTTAATTAAGGGGTATTGGGCTCTCTGGGTACGAGGGGGGCTACCCTTGGTTCTCCAAGTTCGGTTCCTCGTTGTTCAAGCCGTCGTTGATCACGCAGTTGTGTCAAGATTTGCAAGATGTGCGCAAGTCTGGCAGTGGCTTCATAATGCGGTAAGCAGGTTCTGCGGAGGCTTGTAAAGTTCTGTGCAAAATTGAGATTGTTTGAAGCTTCCGTAGCGGGCTTTACGCAATTTGTTTATCAAGACCCGCACCTGCAATCCTTGAGCCCTACAGCAAGCCGCAAGCCCTCGCTGCACGCTTACACATGCCACCCGAGCCCCCAAACCCTCAACCCTAGGGGACCCTAAACCCTCTGTAGAGCCCGATGTAAAACGGCGCAAGATTCTGGTGAAGGCAACCCCAATGAGCAGCGACGCTTCGCGCCCGAGGGCAGCGCCTCCTGCATCGCCTGCCCTGTAGGCCGACGAATTTTGATGCCTTTGAGGGTTTTGGATTTAGGGTTTAGGGTTTAGGGTTCAACCCCAGACCTGAACCCCTGATACCGTAGGAGTGTTGGTGTCTGGTTTACTGGGCTTTCTTGCAGGGTTCTAGCCTGCCTTGTGTGTTTGTGTTGGGTTCTGATACTCGAAAACTGTTACAATGCCGTTGCAAGGATCCTACAACTCAGCATTTTAAACCTAAACCCTAAACCCTAAACCCAAAACCCCAAAACCAAACCCTAAACCCTAAACCCCAAAACCCTAAACCCTAAACCCCAAAACCCTAAACCCTAAACCCCAAAACCCTAAACCCTAAACCCCTAAACTCTAAACCCCAAACCTCTTCAGAAGCCAGGAGCTCATTCTCTGCCCAGGACTTTCTGCTGGATACCGCAAGCACCGTCACCCCTAAGCCCCATAATCACGGGGTTCGGGGTTCAGGGTTCAGGGTTTAGGGTTCAGGGTTTAGGGTTTAGGGACAAAATAGAGCTGCGTCTGGTTTCGATGATTGTGATGATTTTGTTGTCGAACGCGTTCCGTTTAGCGGGTGCGAAGTGCAAAGCTGAGACCAACGCGGCGTTCAAAGTGGTTAGGCGTCTGAAATGCAGCATTTTTCAATCAGCTGCTTATTTAAAGTGGCAAATGTCTTTCAGAATGCGCACTTTCGAAACCTTTTGCTCAAGTTTGCCAGACTCGAATGCTCGGACGCGATTACGCTGTGTTTCCAACAACACGTCGGAAACCCATCTCTTTTTTGGGTTCCTCCAACTCTCAACTGCTCCTCGTAGTGGTCTTTGGGGTTTAGGGTTTAGGGGACAGTTGGCACTAGTATTCACTTATAGTCCTTACATAGCAACACTTCAACATACCACCAAAACCCTGTTCTAATTATGAAGGCCCGATAAACCCTTGCTTACCCTAAACCCCTAAACCCCTAAACCCCTAAACCCAGCCCTCTGGCCCGAGACCTCCCAGTGGTGGGGCCGGTACCAAGAGGCTTTTTGCCTTTTGGGCCAACCTGTCGGGCCCTTAGTCGCTATGGATGTCGCATCAACCTGGGCGGAGGCAGTCAGCCATGTCTCCCCCTGGATCCCCACGTCACACAATACGCATTGGAAAAGAAGCAACGTAGTCTTCTGGAAGTGCACAGGCTTTGATGCACAGAATGCTTATGGTGTGGTGGTTGATCCCATGCTTCCTGCTCTGGGTCAACACATGGGGTCGAGGACCTTCCGAGCGACCACGTCGAAGATCGTCTGGGGCCTCCGTTTTCAGATGCCGATGAGAGTGGGACAGATATATGTGTGCTTTGGATGCGTGGCCCCCTGCTACCATGATAGGTCTGGACAGTGGGAGGCCGAAATGCCAGCTTTCAGTCACTGCAGTGGTGTGTGCCGTATTGCTGGTCAATTTGCCCCTGGCACTAATTTCAATGTGCTCGAGCTCTTTAGTGGATACATGGGTGGATGGGCATGTGCAGCGGAGGAGTTACAGTACTGGGACGTTCAAGTGGCCCTGGATCACGACAAAGGTGCAATTGGGTGCTATTGCCTCAATCATCCAGGCCAGGTCGTGCTCAACCCGGCCCATTTGTCGCCGCCTCTTAGTGACCAGAAGCTCATCGTCTGCACTGACTTCGAGAACCTGTCGTGGGTGAACACCCTGAATTATCGGGACATCAATACCTTCACGGTGTCGGCTCCTTGTCAAAGCTGGTCGGGAATGGGAACTAAGTCGGGCACGGGTGCTGAGACGGGTCGTGTGTTGGTTCGTGCTGTGCAGATGGCACGACTTCTGCAGCCTGCACTTATCTTGGTCGAACAGGTGGCTGGTTTCAGACAACATGCTGAGTATGAAGCTTTTGCTAGGACCATGCAGGAGGCGGGCTTCCGCCTCATGGCTAGCACAGTGCACGATCTGGAATTGTTGTCGTGCACCACCAGACAGAGATGGTTTGGCATATTCATGAATACTGTGCATATCCAGCAGTGGGAGCATGTTGGAAGGTGGATTCATCCAATTCTTCGAGAAAAACACACCTACCAACCGGATACCCACTGCATCACAGCTATGACTGAGAGCCAGCGCAGCGCAGTGACTGTCTCTGAAGATGATTTTCAGGTCATGAACGACCCGGCATTGCTGCCACAGTGGGTGCGGCATGCCCCCGGGGCCCAGTCTGGCGCCATGCCGTTCAGGGTGCAGGGCGCAGGGATGATTTGGCCAACGATCCCTGCCTCGTACAGGTCGTCGGTCTCCTTCTCCAGGGATTACCTCTCAGCTGGAGGGCTCATGACATGGGCCATTCGAGATGCATATGGTGATGTCAGATGGGCGAGCAAGTTCGAGGCGGCCAGGGCCTTGAGATTTTCCGCCACCACCATTCTGCCGAAGGATGAAGATGAAGGTTTTGTGGCCGTGGGCCAATCAGTTTCGCCTTTTCAAGCTGCCCTCATCATGTGCCAGACCCAGGAGGTGTGCCGGCAGCAAGGTCACGCTACACCCAACCAGGGCTTTACTGAGACCATGACCCTTTTTCGGAGCAAGCAAGGGTTTATGGACACCTTCTTCATCCGAGACCATGGCTTGGCACATGAAAGTTTGGCGACTCGGCTCTCTACGCCCACCCAGTTGGAAATCCAGTGCCCCCATTGTCATTTGATGACGAACCAGCCCCTCCTGCTGGCATGTCGTAAATGCTGTATGGTGGCATGTCACAGATGCCTCACAGATGACTGCATGGATTCCCACTTCACAGTGGTCCAGGAGACTACTGCACAGCAGGAGTTGGACGAGCTCAATCGGCTCTACCAGCCACCCCTTGCAGGCAGAAGACTCTTCTCAGTCATCAGGGTGGAGACTGGCTTCCAAGAAAACCTGGATTGCGACCTCGCTCAAAACGTGGGGCAGGCCTATCTGTACTGCGATTTGCCACAGGGCTCAACGTTCTTCAAGGATCAGATCATGGTCAGGGATGATTATGAGCCACAGCACGGAGACATCCTCCATGCCATTCGCAACAACCGGCAGGATGATGCTTGCCCCCTTTGCCTCACCTACGCCATGAACAGACAGCTCCGCCTTTGTCTCATGTGCAATCGCATTGGATGTGCATTATGCATCGTCGACAAGTGCTCTCGATGCACTGGAGGGGCTCTGTCGTGCAGGACATGCCATGAGAGGGCCGCGGATTCGCATATCAGAGCGCTTCATGAGCATGCGTCCCTCCAGCTCGAACATGACACCCAGCCCTGCTTGCCAGAATGGGACTGGACATTGTCTTGTGATATTGAGGCCGAATGGGAGCTGCTTACAGTCTTGGCATACCCTTCTGGTCGGGCTACAGTCAAGCGCTCGCTCTTCCACAACACCACTCATATCGTTGACACTGTCAAAAGAATGGGGTACGACCTCCCAAGTGAAGTGCAGATCTTTTGGGGTGACTCCGTCAAGCCTCACCTTCACAAAGCTGTGGAAGGCTATATTCTGGTGGTGCCAATGGACCAGCTGGGTCAGGGCAGAGTTCCTGTGGTGTGCCGTACCCACAAAGGCGAGCATGTCAAGATGTGCCCTCCTACACAGCCCCTCAATGCATGGATTCGTTCTATGCTGACCCCTGACGAACGTCAAGCTGGCTACAAGGTCCTCTACCGGCAACAGGTCCTGCAAGGAACGTCTACCTTGACTTTGGCTACCGGTGAAGTGCTTACTAAGGTGCCGCCATGGAGCCAACAAAGCAGGTCCTTGGACTGCCCCGAGGAAGGCATGCATCTCCTGGATTCGGTTTTTACCGAAATCCCTCAACCCCTGCAGACAGCTGGACTTGGAGGATCTTTCCCTGGAACCATCACCAATTGGTGTGGTGTAGTCATGCTCTCGGGAGCCTTTCAGCCTCTCCCGGTGCCTTTACCTGGACAAACATGGGCGCAGTGGACGGCTCACCTACCTCTGCCAGATCATGAACACATTTGGGCCACGTCCAATGGTCGCCATTTACCTCCTGATCAGCCATTGGATGGTCGACCCATCCTGTTGCGGCTGCATGCTCGCGGCCGAGGGGGAGGAAAACAGAGTGGCAAGCATGATGCCCTGGCTAAGAAGTTGGCCACTCATCTTCAGTCAAAGGGTGTCCCCTCAGAGGAGGCTACCAGCCGGGCTGAAGCCGTGATCAATGTGGTGGGAACATCTGCGGTGCAAGACGCCTATGACTCAACGGATCCGTGGAGAGCCTTGAAGTCTGCAGCTGGAAATCGAATCCGCCTGGTGAAACCAGAGGAGCTCAAGGCGGCGAAGACCAGGACGATGTCAACGGCCAGTAATGACAGAGGCCCGGACCCTTGGGCTGCGTCTGATCCTTGGTCCCAGGGCCGCAACTCCAAGGAAACGCCACCTACTACGAGCGATGTCCTGATCAGTCTGCTCCCTGGTTTTTTCTTGGACCAAGAGGCACAACCACTTCCGATCCTCCAACATCTGGTTGCAGAAGGGAAAGGCGTAGCTTTGCTCAACGTCGAAGAGACTCAGGTCCATGCTTCCGCCAATTACCTGCTCTCTGAAGAAGAACTTGCAGCCATTGTGGTGTCCCCGACACCACCTTTCCCCGGCCAGATGCCGTGCCGACCGATCTCGTTCGCTGCTATGCATGGCGAGCAAAAAGTGCTGCTCAGAGGATACATTGTGGATTTCGGCCAAAAAGCAGCGAAGCTCAAGGAGGCTGTCCTCACGGTGGAACTGGAAGATATGGCGACCATTGCGATTGAGGTGAGACGAGAGTACCAGGCTACCTGGGAAACGGTCGCTAAGAACCCACTTCGCTATGTTTGGTCTGTCATTGATGGTCTCCAACAGGCTACAGCTACAACCTGGTCCAGGAAGTACTTCAATGGACGCAAAGAGGCTGCAGCAGACACAGCTACCACGTGGCACTGCTTTGCTAAGATTCCTGGGAATGGAATTGACCAGTACCTCACCCAGTCCGGCAAGGGTGGAGGTTTCGTCATTCCCAAAACCAATGGAGATGCTTCTTTGGCTGGCCATTTCCGGGTCATATGGCTGGACCACACAGACCTCGATCGGGCAGTGACGCTCCAAAGAACGTACCCGGATATCCTGGGCCTTGTTCGTGGCAGAGACACTTTGGGTGTCCGCGTTCGTGCTTCCGACTACTCTGGCACAAGGAAGAAGATTGAGCCTTCCTGGAGCCCTCAGGGGCTACTCACGGATCTAGTTGTGGAAGTACGATGGAATGTCGCTCCCCTGCCACCCCACACTGACAAGGCGGCTGTTCAAAGGATTATCAAGGAGCTCAACTGGAAAGCTGTGCCCCTCAAGCAACTCTCATCGACTACCTGGGTGGTTGGGTCATCCAATGCAGACCCTGCCCCTACAGACGTCTTCGACTTCGACAACCAGCCGGTGCTGAACACCCGCCAGAACGTTCGCCAAGCGAATCTGCCTGCGCAGATGGTGTTAGCAGCCCCACCGGCTAGCAAGAAATCCTTGGTGTCCCGCTTCACTGCTGGAAGATGGCAGGCGCCTGCCATACAGTCTCAGGATTCCTCTATGGAACCCACTCCAGGACCGCCAGTCACAGCTCGTGCGCTGATGGCAGAACTACGCGATGAAGTCAACCAGCGTCTTGGAGATTTTCAGGCCCAGATACAGCAGACTGTCAACCAAGTCAACGTCAAGGTGCAGGAAGCGCAGGATACTGCAGCATCCTGTACCATGGAGACCGAGGCTGTGCTACAACGCCAGGACGCACGCGTCACCCAGCTGGAGACCTCAGTTCAGCAGCTCAGCAATCATATCGTCACCAAGACGGATCTGCAGGACGCCCTCAAGGCTGCTATGGAACTCCAGAGTCGGGAGATCAGAACCTTCCTGGCAAAGCGCAGTCCTGATGTCACTCCCACGAACGACCCCAAGGCTCCCAGGGTCGCTTGATGGGTGCCGGGCCGAGGGCAACACCGAAGGCACTGTTTCAATCGTGTGTTCTATGACGGCTACAAAGCTGGAGAAGTACATGTTTGTGTGCCCCAATGCCACGGTGTTGCCCAGCAATTTGTGCAGTGCAAGCATTTACATACACGTCCGTGTGTGTGCAAAATTTGGGATTGGCGCGTGCATGTGGGCTATTTGGTCAGTGCTTCGATTGCCACAGTCAGTATTCGAACCATTGTCCTTTTTTGTTCTACTCTTAATCCATGTGATGACTGGAACTTTTTGCATGGCACATGTGTGGGTCAGGCCTCCAACCCCGGACCCTGGATGTTGCAACTTCGGAACATAGTCTCCGCTACCAAGCACATTGAGAACTTCAGTATGCAAGCAGATTGTCATGTTTGGTCAGAAACTAGTGCCACTTCAGCAGCCCAGAACAAGGTCCTCAAGAAGACTCGCAAACTTGGGGTTTCACTGGTGTGTTCAGATGTGGCCTCCTCCAAGTCCTCCAAGGGCTCTTTGGTGGGTCGCTCTACGGCTACTGGTGCAATGTGTATTTCCAAAGCTCGTGCTACTTCATTGGCTGGACAATGGGAAGGACCGGTCTTTTCTTCAGGTCGTGTTTCAGATGCACTTTTGCAGTTGGACGGTGTTCAGGTTAGGGTCATCGCTGTCTACGGTTATCATTCTGGGATAAAAGACTCTCTTACCAAGAACGATATACTCCTGGGCAAGATCCTACATCGTGCACAAGCTTTTGACTTGCCTGTCATCGTCACTGGTGATTTGAACTGTGATATCAATCAACTCGAAGCATGGCATGCAGCTGTTGCTCGTGGATATGTCGATGTCGCCGCTCGCCAGGCTGCACTAAGCTCTTCCGAACCTGAACCTACGTACAAAGGACAAAGTCGATTGGATTATGTGCTGTGTAACAGGGCAGCTGCAGTTGCTTTTCAAGCTCTTTCTGTGGATCCTCAAGGGTTTACTGATCATGCAGTCTTGTCAGCTTCTTTTGATTGGGGTCTGTTTCAGCCAGTTGTACCTCGATGGTCGTTCCCGCGTGCGTTGGATGACCAGCCCAAGACGCTTGGCCAGGTTGCATCCTTGGTGGCCCAACCACAGCTACATGAGCAGTTCTGCGCGGCCATTCAGTCAAACGATGCTGAGGCTGCTCTGGGATTGTTTGCCAGGATCTATGAGGACAAGGTCAGCAGAGCCTACCATCAAGTGGTGTCGACTCCTATACCACCCAAGTTCCTTGGGAGAAATCGTTGCAAGATCCAGAAGCTGAAAGGCGGGCCTGTTGTTGCTCTGCCTGAGACTCAATCGTTGGCAGATGGCTTCCGTGTCGTTTGCTTTGACAAGGCAAGGCGTTGGTTGTTAGAGCTGCAATCATTACAGAACAAGGACGCAGATATCGCCAAACAACATGTTCTCTGGAAGAAAATTGTGCGATGCGAGGGTTTCTCCCCCTCCTTTCCTGAATGGCTCATGTCCCACGATGTGGTACTCTCGGTTCCCTTCGAGCTGCCGAGTGGAGAATGGATTCAACATGTGGCGCAAGCAATCCAGTATGAGTGTAAACTTCTGCAAACGTTACAAGCTAGGGAGAAGAATGCCATGATCCTACGGAACATGAAGCTGGACTGGTCCAAGGGTGGAAGGTTGCATTCACAGTCGATCAAACCACTGCCTCTGGGTACAATGGATTCCCTCATGGTCAAGAAGGAGAGGTCCTTTCATCTCCTGCGATGTTGCAAAGGCAAGGAGGCCCAGATCTCTTTTCATGATGGGCTGCCGACACCGCCTGGCACACAGCTGACCTTTCATGGGAAGGAGGGGGTTATACATGCAGCTGTGGTCAAAGCTTCTGGCCACAAGGTGGAGTGGAATGTGCCAGCAAATGGTTATATGAGTTCTGTGTCGACAGTACAGCAGACAACCTGGTCTACAGATACAGACTACATTGCATCCCAGGTTCAATCTTTTTGGAAACGTTATTGGCAGCCTCAGAACAAACCAGATTTGGTACAGGCCGCGACAATGGTCAATTGTTTACCTCAGATACCGCAATTTGATGATATTATCACTGCTGAGGAGGTGGAGGCTGTTATTTCAAAACTGCCCTCTGGAAAGGCCCGGGGAATGGATGGGTTCTCGATGCCTGAGCTCAAGTCATTTGGACCTCAGGAGCACGATTTACTGGCACAGCTGTTCAATACCATCACTGCTACAGGAGAATGGCCACAAGCTCTCCTCTCTTCATTTGTGGCCCTGCTGGCAAAGGTGCCACATCCCCAGTCTCCGAAAGATGCAAGGCCCATAACTGTACTTCCGACTCTGTACAGACTATGGGGAAAGATTATGGGTGCAAAGATCATGAGGGCTCTCCTGCCGTACTTGCCCAAAGACCTGTTTGGATCAGTGCCTGGGAGATCCGCATCTGATGCAGCGTGGGAATTACAAACAGCGTTGGAACAAGCAGCATGCGGTGGTGATGATATTGTGGGCGTATCGTTGGATTTGTCAAAAGCCTACAACACTATTCCTCGAGAGGTCGTTTCAATGCTAGCAGACAAGTGCGGATGGCCGGCTTCTTTGAAACGAGCATATCTGTCATTTCTCCAGAATTTCCATCGATTCTTCAAGGTTCATGGTGGTTTCCATTGCCCGACCTACAGCGACACCGGCATCCCTGAAGGTTGCCCAATTGCCGTCCCTGTTCTGATCATGGTTACCTTCCTGGTTACAACATGGTCCACACAAGACGATGGACAAGCCAGATTTCTGAGCTATGTGGACAATTGGACCTTGATCAACACCTCCTTTCCTCATCTTGCTGAATCACTGGATAAGGTTTACACGGCTACGACAACCCTGGCACTCTTGCTCAACCCCGACAAGACCAGAGCCTTTGCCACTACTCCCCAAATGAGGCAGAAACTCGCAAATTTTTCCTTCGCAGGTCACCCGCTGAGCGTCTGTCAGACACACGATGATTTAGGAGTTTGGTTCACTTCGACCCTCAGAAAGACGTCTGTGGCGATACATAAGCGTCTGGACTCAAACCAATCCAAGCTCAAGAAACTGCAAATGATGCCCTGGTCGGCTCAGCGAAAGTCGGATGTTCTGAAGAGGACTGTGGTGCCATCTCTTCTTCATGGGGTCTCGTGGGCATCTTCCCCTGCCACATTTATTGCCACACTGCGAGGAAAGTTTTCGGCTGCTATATGGGGACAACACCACCACCGTGACCACTTTCTGTGCCCGATGTTCTCCCTCAAACAGCCCTTCGAGCCATACCTGATTATTTTCAAACTGCGGCTGGCTGATCTTCGCAGGGCATTTGCCAGACCACAGAGCACCACCGTTCGTTTGTGGGACAACATTCTGACAACGCAACGGAGCACAGGCCCTCTCCGATACTTTTTTGAGATGTGTTCCCAGCTGGGTCTCATACCGCAACCTGGTCTGTTGCTCTCTGTGCTTGGCCGATCTGTACATATGTGCTTATCTCCCTTGCCAGAGATCATGGACATTGTCACTCAGGCGTGGATGGAGCATATTGCTGCCAAAGTTCAAGGGAAGCCAGATGTGGATGGTATTCAGACAGTGGACTTTGCATTCTCTACCAAGCTCAGGAATGCTACCCAGGTCCAACCTCATGTACTGGGATCCTTTACTTCCAACGCTGCAGTCCCGAGTAAACAGAAGCGTAAATTTCTGCCCCCCGAGGAAATACTTTGCAAACATTGTGGTCAGGAGGACGATGCAAAGCACCGATTGCTGCACTGTCCGCACTTTCAACAAGCCAGAGCTCATGTGTCCCTGGAATATGCTTTGCAATGGCCGACTTTGCTGGTTACGAGAGGTTTGGCTAGAAAGCCAGCATCCCTTCAAGCGTGGGACGATCTGAACTTCAGCAGGTCGTGGCCTATGATGCCTGAATGTCTGGATCATGGTATGCACTTGTTCACAGATGGTTCCACAGATGGTTCCAGGTCTGTCCCAAGATCTGCATGGTCTGTTGTGATGCTTGAGCCTGGTTCCTTCATTATGCTCTTGTGCAATCTGGGCCGCTACCGGGCAAGCAATGCAACTACCGGGCTGAAATGTTCGCGACATTGGCTGCTCTGTGCTCATCGGTCAACGCTACTGTTTACATTGACAACAAGAGCGTGGTCCAGGGCCTTCACAGATTGCAGCGCGATGGTTGGGATCAATTTTATTGGAACAAGAGTCCTGAAATTCAGCTCTGGCGCGAAATCTGGGAGGTATTGCGAACCAAACAACCGCAAGCCTGGGTGTTTACACACGTTCGTTCTCATCGCGACTTCAAGCAGCAACCTACAGATTTTCAGGCGTGGACTGCTTTCGGAAATGACACTGCTGACAGATATGCCAAGAATGCCAACCAGGCCCGCGAGCATTCTGAGGTAAAACTGTATCAGGCAGCCTCTCGAGACTGGAATTTTCAGCTGGATCGCATGAACAAGGTTGCTACTTTGCAGCAAGGTGTTTTCCTGGGAGGCCAGTCTGGCCCTTCAGCCAAGGAACCCTCGCAGATCTCCAGAACTGACACCCCGGTGTCAATTACACTGGGCTCTCCTGCTGAACACCTTCTCTCTTTGTCACCAGACAACTACCACGATGCATTGTTGGGGCCCAGGTTTCTCTGGGTTATACACAAGTGGTGGGCTGACCAGCAGTGGAAGCACGCTCCGAACGGTATGAGCATCGCTGAACTGTATTTCTTTTTCTCTGAATCAACTGGTTGGATGGCCCCTCAAAACCTGGCCAAGTGGGACCCGAACTCGCTGCCTTTCAAGTGGAGGACGACTGTCCAAACAGCTTTTGTGACTGAAAATGACTATGAGGCCCTCCAGTTCAATGATGTCTCTTTTTCCAAACAATGTACAATCTTTTTGCATGCATTGAAGTTCTTTGCTGGCCGACATGCTCTTGATCTGGGATTTGCGAGAGGACAAGCCTTGTCCTTCCTGGATTGTTTCGAGCCAGTGCAACAGATTTCTTATGCACCTGACTGCATTGCTGAAGTTCGTGCAAGATTCAAGGATCGGATTGAAAGTAGCTGGAAAACTTTTAAACATGCTGTCTTTCGAACCTCTCGTGAGCCGATACCGTGCCCGCTTGAAGTTCAACATCCTTTAACCACATGGAAGCTTTATTATAGCCGTCGCAGACGCAAGGCTATTGCTTGAGCGCTCCGTCTCGCTCTTTTATGCGCCCCCACCAGCGGTTGTGCATTTGCTTCGTCCGAGGAATCGTCCGAAGTGTCCACCAGACGCCTTGTATAAACCCCTAAACCCCTAAACCCCTAAACCCTAAACCCCGAAACCCCTGAACCCCGAAACCCCTCAACCCTACACCCCTAACCCCCCAAACCCCCTAAACCCTAGAGCCGAGCCCGGCGCATTTCGGCAAGCCCCGGACCCTCCGAGCCGAAGGATGTTCGGAACACCGAAGGAACATTTCGCGCTCCTAAATCGCGGGGTTCAGAGGGGCCTTAACAATTAGAATAGGGTTTAGGGTTCGGGGTTGAGGGTTTAGGGGTTTAGGGGTGTAGGGTTTAGGGTTTAGGGTTTGGGGTTTGGGGCTGACTGCGGACAGAAGTCTGAGGCGACTGGTGTCTTGTGCAGGGCTTGGGGCTCCTTTATGGTATAAACATGAGAAGGAACCCCAAGGAATAATATAGGAAAACATTCAGGCTTCTGTAGCAGGGAGGTTTTGCAGTTTTGTGTTCTCCTCGAGCATAACTCAACTCTCTTTCTGTTATTGGGAAGCGGCTTTCACATCTTTTTGTTGCAAAGCTGTTTTTGTAGTACGGTTTAGGGTTTCGGAAGCCGAAGCTATGGTGGAAGAATTGCGAAGCCCTGATAGGTTTAAGGTTTCGGGTTTGGGGTTCAGGGCCCCTATAAACCCCATATCGACTTGTTGCAAAATCCTAAACCCTAAACCCCAAACCCCTTAAACCCTAAAGCCCCAAACC